TCTCAGACGTTTACTACTTCGGTGAAACCCACGAGCACGAGTATGGTGCTGACAAACCTAGAAACATAATCGGGGCGAACCGGGATTCGAACCCACAATCATGGGTTTCTGGCGTGCCCAAGGGACGCAACTCTGCACAGCGAATCGTGGCGCCTTAGACGAGTGGGCCGCCCGTGCCCCCCTTCACCTAAGTCGTTAATGTAGTGTACCTGCGTTACTTCGTGCTTTACCTAACATGAAGCTGACACGCTTATATATAACCGCTTGCCGCGTTAAACCCAAATTACTCAAATTAATATATACAGTGTGGTATAGTAAACGTGAGATGGCTGAAAGAAAACTCACAAAACGTAGGACTGCCCATCGTGACTTTCAATGAGAACTAATCATGTTACTGAAATAAAAAAAATATGTCGAGAATCCTGCAGCAAATTAATCTGCGACATTATGGTAAGATTGTAAACAAATTAGTCCCTGAGGGGAGATATCCAAACATTGAATAACAGTAGCCTGTCTCCACGATGTGCTGTTGCTTGCTGGTGAGAGTTGCGTGCCTTAGTTCCTGGCGCCTCTGGTAGCATTCGTGACCAACTCGTGTTATTCCGGGACAAGCCGAATAGCGACTCGTGCCCCTCTCATGGCCAGTTTGTTCGACCGGGTTCCGTCTTAGCGCAACCGAGCATACCTAAAACAATTGTCAACTCGTTGCGTAATGGTTCACACATATTTCCCCATATATTATATATATTTTTCAGATGCAATTTAAAGCACATCGGGACGTGCTGAATTATACAGTGTGATTGAACACACTTAACTATGTATTGGGTATATTTTTAGATGCAGGACATATATAAAATCAAAAATTATTTCTGAGGGATTCTTTGATGAAGAACTTGAAATCATACGCGCATTCTGATTGGTTTGTCGTATTTTCGCACATAAACTTCATCGATAGGAGGACGAGTCTTCTTGCAGGTTACGGAAAGGGGCGAGTGGTGACGAATGCTCTGGTAGTTGATATACATCCAAGGCTCGCCTCATTTATTCTCGTTTCAGGTTGGACATAATGAATTGTTTTTCAATAAACTATGTGATATTGTTATATTTTTAAAAACATAGCTTGCCATTAAAGTGTATTGTCATATTCAAGCGTGTATTACCAGGCCTTAGAACTGCAATATAATCCCAATAGTTGGCTTCCATAGCTCCGAGTACATGAAGCTCTACAACAACTGCAGTTTTGCACCAAATGACACTTCCTGCAGACACATTCAGCATAAGGACTAAATATTGGATAACGGCTGTCCAGCTTGTCCTGCTGGAGTTTAACATCACATCACACACTACAATGAATAAATGTGATTTAGTTTACAGATATTCAGAATGAAAGAGGAATTGCACCATTATGAATGTCTATCGTATGTCGAACAGGTTTTCAAGTCATAACTTATCCTTATTAAATGTCCTTTTAAGTGAAAGAATATTAACATGACATTAAAATGACATTAAAAAGAGACTGCGAAGGCATGACATGTTTTGTCAAGCGCTTAATGCACTTTGTGCACCTGAGTGCTGACAGTATAATTAAAACAATAATTGTACGGTTCTATCTCGAGAGAAGTAATGTGGATTCGGATCAACCTTCGAAAATTATTACCCTTTTTGAAAACGAAGTTGGATTGGACTTATTTAACTTGCAATTATACTTCAATGCGAGGAGACGCGTGCGCTTACTCAACTAGATTTAGTTTTAATAAGCACCTCTTGCACTCCGGTGATGCAAAGAAATTACTTCTGAGACAAGGTCGGCGTGATCCTGTTCAAGGTCATCAATCGTTAAATCATTATGCAACGAGTTCTCAACTACGCAGGGATCGGTAAGGAGTTCCTTTCCAAATTGTAATCTTGCTGTTTACAGTGTGCGCAAAATAATGGTCGTATCCACATGGATGACGTAGGTCAAATCATTTGTTCCGGACAGCACGTTCCCAGTTTTACTAAGCCCGTCGTGGGTTATCAGTGACTGGTTCCGGGTTGATGTAATTGATGTTTTTGCGCCTGATATTCACCACATCAATTCTAGTTCACATTATGCGAACATGGTATAGCCGTCATGTAAACAGGCCATCGCTCAAATCAGCTGTCTAGACCAGACTAAGTATTTTGTTGACCGGAAATTAAAAAGAAAGTGCGTCTGTAGGAGGCGGCCCTTAAAACAATCCAAGTCTCAATTACAGAAGTAGCTGTTTATCACCCTGAAGTGGTATCACTTCTCCGTGGCGAATACATTCCACGATGCCTGGAATTGGTGAGAATTAAGGACGAAATAACGGCAGTTGGAAGTTTCTCCGCTGTGAATTAAATGAAATAACTTTCTCTTGAAAGCACACGGGACAACGGGCGCAAAAATATTGTGACATTTATAGACAGCATAAAAATTGTCTTCAATAAAATGGTTGAAATAACATTTCTTTCGTCGAAAATGCCAGACTGCTCTAAATGTACAACGATGCTCCCCTAAAGAAGTAAAGGAATTACCTAAATTCCACTTTTATATTGACTTTGACAAGCCCCCAGAAGGGCATGAGGCCGTCAGGAAGCTACAGGTACATTGTACATCTTCATATGACTTACAATCGGACTTTCTTCTTTTTATCATTGAACCGCCTCCGTGGTCCAGTGGATATAAAGCCTGTGCTCGGAGAGTGGAAGGTCGGTGGTTCGATCCCCGTCCGCGTCATACCAAAAGACGTTTAAAGGTAGTCCTTCTTGCTACCCTTCCTCGCGCTCGGAATGAAGGGGATTAAACAAGGACTGGTCAGCGTATAAACACACGCGCGCGCAAACACACGCATACGCATGCACAAACACGTGCATGCACTTTGCTATGTTAGTGAAATTACCTTGAAACCGACATGAAACCATCCCTTTAACCTCGTCTCATCTCTCTATCACAGAGAGTGTTTTACCTATGTGTTTTTGTTTCTTGTTTTATGCGGCAGTCAGCAATATTTCAGACATACCATGATAGTCTGTATATATTCGAGTCTTGACATGACAAACGAGTGGTTGATATTATGAGCAACGTCTCTCGCCATTGGGGTACAATGACAACTAACTTACAGAGGCGTTCTATATATTTGAGTCGCCTCCTACGAATAGGACAGGTTCGTGCGGAAGCATTCTGACCTGTCTCCCAATGTATGTACTTCTGACGTGTGTTTGTCTTTACCAACACCAGTCAGACATGTAAAGGTATCTCTAAAATTGAAAACTTGTCTAAGTTAACAGTTTCGAGAAACAGAATAACCACAAGTAAATGAGAAAAAACCAAATTGAATATTCATCAACACCACGGAATGCATCAGCCAAAGCGTACCGGTACATTTATCCTGTTTAATGGAAATGTATCAGTCTTTGAAATGTGCAGTAATGTATTCCCGTCCTTGTTTCAGGGAACAATTTCCCTACGTAAACAACCCCCACGCAAACAAACCGCCAGTGTTAATGCGATGCATTCTTCCACATTAAAGATTCCTTGGAAGCACTGTGAGACTTCAGTCTCTTCTGGAACCTATAGCGCCGTGATGAAACAAGCATGACATCTGCTTCTCGGCATAGGCAGCGGGTGTTAGGTCACATATTTATTTTAAATCGACAATGTTTATAAGACAGATATGTCACATATGGCTTCAGCCACAAATGTAAACTGTGTTTAAGGTCTGACGTATACACGCGGTGTGAACAGTTCTGTACATTGAGGCCAATGGTTCGTGAGCTTAGGGTTATCCATACTCGTCTAACTCGTCGCTAAGAGGGATGCTAAGGTATAAGTATGATATTGATGATGAAATTGATGCTGATGTAGGAGAGAGTGATGTTCTGGTGCAGGACGACATATTTATTACTCATTTTTACAATCTGCATATTGTCTGAGGTATTATGTTATAGCAGTGGTACATGTATTTCATTTTTCAATCTATAATTTGCCTTACCCGGATGTGTCAATCATGGTCATATTCATCGTCGTTGCTTTATCACTGAAACACAATACTGTTGCCATGTTAAATGTTAACTCATCAATACTCACATTACCTTCAACACAAAATTGAAGCAGTAAATGCCAAAATTGAGTGAGTACATTTGCACACTTTTTCAGTTTGGCGACTAACGGGATCGGGTGGTCAGGTTTGCTGACTCGGTAGATGCATGTCATCGTATCCCAATTGCGTGGATCGATGCTCACGATGTCAATCACGCGATTGTCTGGTCCATACTCGATTATTTACAGACTGCCGTCATATAGCTGAAATATTGCTGAGCGCAGCGTTAAACAAACAAACACTTATGTCACGGTTTGACATACAGGTCTGAGACATGAACCACTTGGGTGAAAGCAACAGACACGGTTATGGGGCTGACAAACCAACAATCATAGCCAAGGCGAATGTTGGATTTAAACCCAAGATCAAACCATAGTGACACGTCTAACGTACACAATTCTACAGTAACGACGAGCTGACACGGTTCCATAACACTCTAGTGTAACCCGGGACGGAGAAGGGGTGATGCAATGTGTAATATGGGTGTCGAAATGGATAACGATGTGGACGATGTGGATGATGTGGAGAGGGTCATGTTCTGGTGCGGGAACGGATTATGTAACACTCAATATAAAAATCTGCACATTGCCTTTATGACAGCAAGGATATTTTATTGTTCTGAAAGTGTAATTCAAAACGAAAATGTATCCTTTTACACAATTTGCCTTACCCAGATCTGCTATTCAGAAATGTAGGATTGACATGAACCAAACTGCCAAGAAGTCGATATTACGCCAGACTCTATAGCACAGACAATTAGTGCTCTTAAATGCAAACCACAATGGAGCTACAACCTGAATACAATCTGTATTAATTGCATATAAACCACCAGTCTGCAAAATCTCAAGTGCCCTTTAAAACCCTCCATAACATGCTTCAACATAATACGTTACTCACGGGAAGTGAATTTCCTATAGTCCTAGGAGAAAGTCCGTGCGTTACTCCCAAGATGTAGAGTAATTGCGCTCATCCAATGTCTGTAACGATCCCAGCACGTGAACCAGCTAATACTCCCAACTCTGTTGAGGCAGGTAACTACATACCACCACCGGAAACTAGTGCTTCGTCACTAGGTGGCGCTAATTCGTCATCCGCAGCCCCAATTATAAGGCAAGAGTACGGGCATGGAATAAGATAATAACTTCTTCTTTTTTTAAAAACACAAGAGACTCTAGGAAATTATTTTATTTCCAGTTTCCAATCTAGTATTGATTTTTTTTAATGTGAAGAAAATGTTTCTTGTACACATGACCCTTCTTTTGTCTGTAAATTGAGGTATATTGAATTTGATCACCGAACTATGCCTCTATTGCGTATGAGAATGTAGTTGTCGTTTGTTATTTTGTTCATTCTTATAGTTGTTATTTTCAGACAAAGTTCACTTCCTTGGTAGAGACACTAGCGCCTGTATTCAAACAAGGCATTGAAGAAAGAAAAGTGTCGCTACGTAAACATTGCTCAAATAAGGCCGATGCAACATTATATTTTAACTCACTCACTCACTCACGCACGCATTCACGCACGCACGCACGCACGCACGCACTCACGCACTCACTCACTCACTCACTCACTCACTCACGCATTCACGCACGCACGCACGCACGCACGCACTCACTCACTCACTCACTCACTCACTCACTCACTCACTCACTGAGTATGACTTTACGCTACTTTTAGCAATATTCCACCAATATCACGGCGGGGAGAAAATTTACTTCGCACATTGTACCCTTGTAAGAAATCGAACCCGGTAACCACAAGGCCCCATCCAATGAAGATACGCTGAACTCAAGAAGTTGAAATCAATGTCAACTCTATCTTCATAGATACTACAGTTTCTTTAACGCCAACACCTTAGGGGTATTCATGTTCGCATCAGTCCCAATAACAAAGCGAGTGCACAAAATACGACAAACGTATTGCCCTATACTCACGAACCGCTGTAAACTTGAGCCAAGTTGATGACACCCGATGTTCGCAAAACTTGTGATAATGGCCTGCTCTATCGATTGTAGCTATCTTTAGTGAAAGGTCAACCCAAGATACTGTTGACCCTGACACTTAATAACCAACCCTTTAATGCATTATACAAACCTGGCTAATGTAGAACGATCTACAAGTGTAAGCATGCCTCTTAGTGAACGCATTGGTAATGGTAGATGCAGAGTTCGAATCACTTACAGGTTGGTTATTTCAAGGGATGTATGAAGCAACAGTGGTTCTGATTTCAGCCACTCTTCTCGTAACGTGGAAACACTGAGTATTGGGTTTGTTCTATAAAGACAATACCAGAACAGGCCACATCCAACTGGTGAGATCTGACACCCAGATGTCTCCTAGTGTACGGTATTTACACGTCGATAACCGTCGTCGTATAGAAGGCTGGTCTGCTTCACGTACTAGCAAGCAGCTCCTTTTGAATAATGCATGATCCAAAACTTGAGCCTACTTCACTGAAGCGCTTTGAGAACGACTCTCCAGAAATGAAGAAAAATGTTGTTGTGAAATCGAGCGGAGAATATGGTTGTCTAGAAATGCTTTGAGGGAGAACACTGATATGGAGGTATCTGGTGGACAATATGGTTGTCAAGAAACGCTGTGATGTAGAACACTGTTGTGGAGGTACCGGGGTGAGAATATGGTTGTCTAGAAATGCTGGGATTGAGAACACTGACGTGGAGGTATCGGGTGGAGCACATGGTTGTCAAGAAACGCTGTGATGTAGGACACTGATATGGAGGTATCGGGTGGACAATATGGTTGTCAAGAAACGCTGTGATGTAGAACACTGTTGTGGAGGTACCGGGGTGAGAATATGGTTGTCTAGAAATGCTGGGATTGAGAACACTGACGTGGAGGTATCGGGTGGAGCATATGGTTGTCAAGAAACGCTGTGATGAAGGACACTGTTGTGAAGGCATCGGGTTGAGAATATGGTTGTCTAGAAATGCTGGGATTGAGAACACTGACGTGGAGGTATCGGGTGGAGCATATGGTTGTCAAGAAACGCTATGATGTAGGACACTGATATCGAGGTATCGGGTGGACAATATGGTTGTCAAGAAACGCTGTGATGTAGGACACTGTTGTGGAGGTACCGGGGTGAGAATATGGTTGTCTAGAAATGCTGGGATTGAGAACACTGACGTGGAGGTATCGGGTGGAGCATATGGTTGTCAAGAAACACTGTGATGTAGGACACTGTTGTGAAGGCATCGGGTTGAGAATATGGTTGTCTAGAAATGCTGTGATGTAGAACACTGTTGTGGAGGTATCGGGCGGAGAATATGGTTGTCTGGAAATGCTGTGATGTAGAACACTGATGTAGAGGTATCGAGTGGAGAAGATGGTTGTCTAGAAAAGCTTTGAGGGAGAACACTGTTGTGGTTGTACCGGGTGGAGAAGAGTGTTGTCAAGAAATGCTATGATGTAGAACACTGATATGGAGGTATTGGGTGGAGCATTTGGTTGTCTAGAAATGCTTTGATGGAGGACACTGTTGTGAAGGCATCGGGTTGAGAATATGGTTGTCTAGAAATGCTGTGATGTAGAACACTGTTGTGGAGGTATCGGGTGGAGAATATGGTTGTCAAGAAATGCTGTGATGTAGAACACTGATGTGGAGGTATTGGGTGGAGGTTATGGTTGTCTGGAAGTGTTGTAATGTAGAACATTGATTTGGAGCTATCGGGTGGAGAAGAGTGTTGTCTTGCATCTAAACATAGTAATTCCCTGACGACTGATCACTGTCCAAACACAATACAATTAGCGTCTACCAATTCCCAACAGAAAGAAAGTAATACAGTTACAATCACTGTTAATCAATATAAAACACTGCCATATAACATTACATTAACGCATTATGGAATTTTGTGACATTTGAACTTCAATGTAATATTGTGATACGTATAACCGAACTCGTAGTACATTATAATTATTATTACATTTTCCAGTGTAAACAAAGTGCATACGTAACTTGGTACACGATTGGCTGCTTACTGTGTACACATAAGGAGACGCTATCACTGAACATCGAGCCATAACACATTGTTTTATCAATCCAGTACATAACACAGAGCCCCTGTGTATTGATATTGCAGCACGAAGAAATCTAATCTTAAACTAACAATATAACTCCATTTATGTATCATAAGTATTTACCCAACACCAACCCGCACCCATAGGCTGCAATAAAATAACCGAATAGTCTGAAAATCGACATTTGCCATTTCATACAAGCTTCTTTTCTATTCCAGCACGACTAATTGGCTCATTAATGCCCGAGTGGTTTAATCTCTCTGGAATAGTCTTTCTAGGCACCAATCAGATGGTCAAGCAAATATTTACACAGCCCATAACAAGTGGTGCGGCGTATAGGCCTTGGTTCAACAAGAGAGAACGAGTCTCTGTATGAAATCCCTTGTTTGGGCAGACAGCTTCCTATGTAAGGTCATTTTGTGGGTTTATATGATTAAAGCCAATACATTAAAATGCGGTTTCCCGACGACCGGAAATTAATTGTCGTTAGGATAGGAAATCAGTTTCTGATTCATCAAATAGTTTCATTGTTACATATTCTGTCAAAATATATCAGATTTAAGTTTACAGTCGAAGAGTTTATTTGGTGTCTGTTCAATATGGCAGAGTTAATTACTTTTGACAAGGTACCAGGGAATATCTGTGCATAATTCAGGTTATGATCTCATTCTCCAAATGGGAATATTTTACAGTCAAAAATTTCCGTACATTCTGACCGAACTTTTGTGATTATTATGTTGAACAAATATATTGCTGATGCATTGGATTTGGATTTGTGAGTTGCATTTAACGTCACGTTTAACAATAATGTAATTGTATTGACCTGGACACACGTTCACATAGTGATCTTAGACCTATGACTGAACTTCCCTTCTTTAACTTACACGTATGGTTGTTGTAGATGGGGTCTGGTACCATGAACACTTCTGATAAAGTGCAAGGGCAAAGTTATGAGATTGATTTTTTAAAACTAGAACGAAAACTTGACGCTTTTCAAATAGGTTTTATTGACCGGCAGGTTACAAATAAGTGCAACAACGTAAATTTCAAGATAATCATTTTAACATTATCATTAACGGATCAGAGAGTGAGAGTGGGCAGTTTTAAAAAGCCTTATAGAGACTTAATAGATATTCTGCGCTGATGAATTAAAAAAAGCTCAATAACTAATGAACATTATTCCATGACGATTTCAACACCATACGGTAGATAACAATCAACATGGCAGCTTGATCGCCCACACAGCATTAATCAATAATCTATGCCGTTTGGCACATGCACTGTTAAGATTCACATCTAAACAGCTCAAATGATTTTATTGTCGGCATCATTGATTAAAAGGTTTCGTTGGCAAACGAATCATGTTTTATAGCAATGATCAAAGAATATTGGCCCCCGGCTGGATTGTGTCGTAATAAAAACAGCACAAAATAAACTTATTGTGTGAAATTCAATTTTCAACAGCTGATCTGTGAAAACTAGTTTTTTATATCTGGATTCTTTACGCGGTCTGTACGTTGTTGGTGATAAAACACGATACATAATCAATGTTGCATACTGAGGTCTGTGTTGAGACGGACGAAATAAGTTGCAGGATGCACGTCGGTTGAATTGAGCAGAGTTGTGACAGGATGTGCTTGAGCAGAACACAACACTTTGATTACCTTTGCGCATGTACCGGTGGATTTGCTTCCTTCGTTTTTGCAGTGTTCTTCGATTTTTCTCCCACTGCTCTGTAAATAAACCTTTTTTCCTCCAGTGGACGAGCAGGTCTATGGAATACTGTGAGGGGAATTGTCGCATTGTCGAGTGTAGCCATCTCCACCTTTAGTCCGAAAAAATATTCAAGACTCAACATGGTCTCTCATAGTATTCCATACAGACCAGTCATTCGTCAGACGTCTGCATAGGTCAAGGGGCTGACACTTGCCATTGAGTGAATGTTGTTTGAAA